ATAGATAAAGTGGAGTATGACCAGAAGCATCAGTAATATCAGGATTACAGTAACGACCATCAACGAAAAACCTCAATATATCCAAAGCCCCTTCCTTTGCTGATATGTGTATTACGTTAAACCCTTTATCGTCCAGTATAGAAATGTTGCAGTTTTTACTGTTGAGGTAACGAATGATAGGAAGGTTTTTAAAGAAAGCTGCAATAAGTAGTGGAGTACGTCCAAAAGAGTCGGTCATATCAAGAGATAATGGTGAATGGTCTATAATGTACTTGACTATACTCAATGATCCTTCTTCACAGGCTACATGAACTGGAGCCATTCCATTGTAATCTTTAATAGTGAGATCCAACTGATGCTCCTCCACTAGATGTTTGAGTATAGGAAGAGAACGACTATTACATGATAAATGAAGAACTGTCGATCCATTTGAAGTTTTAACTGATAGGTCACACTGAGGAAGACTAGTGAGGTAGAGAACTATAGCAACATGTCCTTCCTGACATGCTAGGTGAAGGAGTGTAGGTTGAGTATCATTAAGAGGAGTAGTAGCATTAATATCAAATGAATAATTGTTTAATAATTGCTTTAAACAATGCAAATGGTTGAATTGTGCAGCCAAAAAAGGTAATACACCATTCTTAAATGAGGCTACATTGATATGATACTCTTGTCTGAGCCATTCCAGTATATGAACATGTCCTTCCGTCACTGCAACATCCAACGATGATACTTTGCTGTATATTCTTGGATTATGTTTATATTGTTTTATTAATAACTTTAAAAGATCAAGATTACCAGAATAACAGGCCCATGTGATACAATTGAAGCCATTTATGTCTTCAGTACTGTCATCACATTTCATTTCATCAATTAGAAATGTCACTAGTTGTACAACACCACTAGCACAGGCAAGATGAAGTGGTGTTTCATTATTATCACTAGTCAAATGCAATAGACTGGTATATTGTGGATAACTATCAATAATATATTTAATAATTGAATAATGACCAGCAGCTGCAGCTAAATGAAATATATTCATATTTTTTTTATCATTTTCACTCAAATCACACCTGCAATCATTGACTAAATATTCCAAGATATCAATAACGCCAGTTTGAGCTGCAAAATGAACTGCACCTTCACCATCCTTACCTTTTACATGAGGGTCTAGCTTGTATTCATCTATTAATAATTTAACTAATGGCAACTTTGAACTATTGACAGCATTCAGAAAAGACACTGGTGTGAGAAGCAAGTGATGATTCTCAATGAAGTATTGGTTCAGCTTTATATTACCACTTGCAATGCTGTAACCAGCTCCATCTAAAGTAATACCACTACCCTGTACTTCACATAGGTATTGACTCAACTCAAGGTTACCATGACGACATGAATAATGAAGAGGGGTTTTACCCTCATTACAGGTTATATCAACATCAATGTCAGTGTCAGTAGTATTCATAATATATTCTACTGCATTGATACTACCTGACACACAAGCTAATGCTAATGGTACTACACCTTTGTAGTCTGGTTGACTGGCATTCAACCTATACTCAGATACAGTATAACTGAGTAGAGTAGGTGAACCTGATAAAGCAGCATAATGTACTGCAGACCGACCCTCATAATCTAATGAACTTGTATTAATACAATACTCATCTAATACCTTCACTAATAATATACTACCACTAGTACATGCTAAATGAGCCAATGATTGACCAGTAGCAGTAATAGAATTTATATTGAAATTATTAATAACACTTGTCTTCTTGAGGAGTGTAGACAAAAGTCTCACTCTTTTATGCTGTTTGGTAACATTTATATTTAGTGATATGTATTTCTGCCATTCTTTTTTGACTTGTTTATTAGTTGAAGCTAATCGGCTGACTAAAGGTATATCACATGGTGCAGTGAGCTTATTATACACTTCTGTAATGCAGTATTTATCAACCAATCCACTGCATAAGTAATGAAGAGAAGAGCAATCACTATAATCAGCTTCTAGTAATACTTTATATCCAAATATATCAGCTGCTTTCATAATGAAACCTGATGAAGCATACTGGCTTGCTATATGAAGTGGAGTTGCACCAAAACGATCTCTTTTGCTTAAATTAATGTTGCAATCTTTCTGAAGATACTCTAGAAGCTCTACACTATCACTCATAGCACAATAATGTACTATTCCACATCCATTAAAATCTATGTCATCTTCTGAGAAAATACTAAACTGCTTAAGCTGATGAACTAATGCTACCTCTCCACTCTTACATGCTAATAATGATAAAGTGGATCCTTCTCTATTCACCTGAGACACGTTACACTTCTTCTTTAAAAACATAATCACGAGGTCAATGTGACCACCCAGTGCTGAATAAAGCAATCCTGTGTTACAAGAGCTATCTGCTATGTCTGGATCAACGTGACATTCATTAACTAGATACTGTGCAATATTGAGATGGCCTTTATATGAGGCCATGTGTAAACTAATAACACCGTCGTCATCACCTTGTGAAGGATCGCAATGATAAACATCAATGAGGAGCTTGAGAACATCAAAATGGCCGCCATATGAAGCAGCTAATGGTGGATTCCAACCATTTGTACCTCTTTCTTGAGAGCCAGATTCATCTATTAACCATTGTACTTCATCTTTTAATCCTCTCCAACATGCTTCAATGAGTGGAGTACTAGTATTCTCATACCATAAAGGATCATTAATATCTGTACACAAGATAAAATAAATACAGTAGATTATTATTTAATTACCAATAGTAAAGTGAGAGAGCTTCTTTAACTCATTCTCTGGTAACTATATATGATTAAAAAATAATCAATGCATTTTTTACCTTAAAAATTTTTATTACTTACCTGTTTCATTTCATGTACATGTTCATTACAGCTCAATTTGATAATACCAATCTCAGCCAATGAACGACACTGTTGATTGGTAAGTGGAAAAAGAATTGAATGTAAGAAATCAGGAACGGAGTATTTTAACTCCATACAACCATTATCAATATGACAAAAATAGAATTTGTATTCTGGAATTTCAAGTGCATCAGCAATCGCACTATGGAAGAAGTGTAAATCATTTAAAGTATAATCATCATTGGCAACTTTTGCTATCATGACTTGAGTACCAGGAGCATCTGATACACCAAACTCAACACCATTCACGACTTCAACTGCTCGACCATTGTTATTTTTAAAATAATCTTTTAGCAAATTAGAATAAGTTGACCACATTCGCTGCACTTCTCTATCTGCTATAAATTCTTTAACCAGTAGGACAACAAAGTCAAAATTAAACCAGGAGGCACGTTTTCCCAGTACTCTGAATAACTGATTCATTGATTTAACTTTGTCATACTCATCTTGTAATTTATCAATAAACTGTTCTTTATGAAAACGTGGACTCAATAAATTGGTGATGTGGTATTGAATAAAATCAATTACTTTAGGAAGAGAAATAATTTTGTCTTCTATAGAAAGAAATGCTTCTTTGGTTTTATATATGTTAGAAGCATAAATTCTTTGAAGCTCTTCAATCTGCCTTAAAAGGTCAAGGAATGTAGTTGGGTTTCCACTAGCATATGTGGCTTTAGTATCAGGGGAATTAAGAGGTGTCACCGATTCTCTATTTGGGGTAACTTCTATAAACAAAAAATTGATCTAAATCTATATTTATGCATGTAATAATTATGATACCTCTAGAGGATGGGTTAGTGTCCACTGGTGACAAAGGTTGCTTTTCACTACTTGTAGGATATTCCTTTGCTATTTCATCAGCTAAGGCAGGGTTTGCTCCTCCACTTTTACTTCTAATGCAATTGCAGAGCATTCGTAATGTAGGAGCACCACTACTTTGATCACAATCCTTTCTTAACCAACACTCAAAAACTTTTCTGAGACATGTTTTTGGTGGTTTACCCTCTGCTTCAATCTCATCTAATTTGTTAGGACTGAGGCCTAACAAAATGCCAATGGAGTCCCAGTGTCCAGAAAGATCACCTGCCTTTTCCCAAACCAAACGAAAATCATTGATGCCTATGAATAGTCATGTGTCATGTAAAATGTACAATTGTATATTGTATACTCACCAAGTTCTTTGTCAAGGGTTGCTTCTATTGTGCTCGACATGTGTAAGTGGAAGAAGGAGAATGGCAATGAGAAAAACAGAAGAGAAGGGAAGAAGAAAAACATGAGAAGGAAAGGAATTTGATTAATTCACATCATTTCCTTTGTCTTATAATAACAATTTTTACTGCTTGAGTAGTAAGGGCTGCATGGAGTTGTTTAACATCTTCCAATAATAATAAACACAAAGTACAAGAATTACATGTCTATAATCTGCAGTTCTTATATCAAACAGAGAGAAAAGTTATAAAAAGATAAATAAAACAATATTATACCACAATAATAATAATGATAATGATCTAATGAAACTAGTATTAGTACTTCTCTATTAACTCCTTTTGTGAGAAATCTCTTGTCTCAATTCTAAATAATTAAAATATTATCAAGTACAGGATAAAGGATGGTTCATGTATTCACTTTCAATTGATGACTGGTAACTTGAATGCATCTCCATCAGCTCCTTATCATGTCTGGACTGTAACTCATGAACCTCCTTCTTATGAAATGACTTTAACTCTTCAACCTAGTAAAGACATTAGTATGGATAACATTGTCACTTTCCAAAAAACAAAAATGATTGTTTTTAGTATTAAAAATGACCAGAGTCCATGCACAAATTCAATAAAAATTAAGAAGCATATCATATTGCATTTATAATATCTTTAATAGCTAACCTGTTCATGGAAGGATTCCTCAACTACACAAAGAGGAAAGAAGATAAAAAGAGAGAGGAGGAGGAGGGAAGTAGTGTATAGTGAAGGAAGATGAGAAGAGAAGGAAAAGGCAGACACAGTTTAGTAACAGAAGCCATCACTACAATACAATTAACCTCATCACTATCTCATAACATTCTCTACCCATACAGTGAGTACATGTACACTATACTCCATTATAATACTTCAAAAAACTGTTGCATGCACACAGACACACACTCTCATTCATTATCAATGAAATCTTAACCATATAAGGAGCTCTTCTATTGAAGAGCTTATAATGAATTAAAGTCAAAGCTCAAAGAGCACATGCTTAACACATGCTATAAACATAATTCACCTAATTAACCTAATAGTACCTGCCCTTGTTTACAAGTTGTCTCAATATCACTATCATTGAGTGATTTTATTGTCACCTAAAAACAGGGCTGTAATATAGGAGCTATTGTTCCAGGACCTGGGGCTTTTAAACCTCATAACTTGAAAAATTGAAGTCAGAATCAGCTCAAATTTCTATATAGCTTAAGGCAACAATATGTATCAGAAAATGTAATAAAAATTTGGGGTTCAGCTTGGGGTATTTTGCTATACAGGGAGATCAAGGTATAACTTCAAATATTAAAATGATCAAAAATGAAAGCCCACAATTTCTTTTTCCCTCTCTCTTTCATCTCTCCTCTTCTCTAGGGATGGAAAAACATTAGTCTTTACTTTGGTGGTTTTTTTGTTTCAGTCTGTGGCGTGATAATGGTTGCTCTCTCCAGTAACAAGGTTCATTGTTAATGATGCATAAATTTGAGTGAGTGATTGATAAAAAAATTAATGAGAAGGCTTAC